TTCTAAGTTCATTCTCACATGGTTCCTGTGATTTGCAAGTGCTGAATACTGGATGAGTGGCTATGGAGATGGCATGGGTGTATCTGGTGCTATGGAGCATGGGGGTGTGCATGAGTTGACATTGGAGAAGGGGAGGTGCTACGCACATAAGCTGGTGTAAGGCTGAGAATTAGTGGCTAAAACAAATAGAATGTAGCCTCAGAGAGCCAAGGTATTTCTTCCAACCATCCAGTCTTAGCTCCCTGCCTTTGAGGCCTTCAGGCGTCTTCAAACCACCTAATCCCTAGTGAAAATCGGGTCCAGTAAACTGAGACAAGGTCAGGAAACCTTTCAACTTGAGCTACTGCCTCACAAGAAAAAAATTGGCACATGACTCAATTTGTAAACCCAGGATTCCTTGTGCTTTATTAACTGCTTTTTCAACCTGACATGTCACCTTCAAGATGTGTGCACAAATACTTTTGGATCTCCCTGTTCCTGCACCCATTCAGAATTGCATCCTTTATTTTATATTGTCTCTTGCTCGTCTCACTAAAATGTATTACCTTACATTTCCCTACATTAAATTTCGTCTTCTCAAAGCCTGTCATTCCATCAGTCTATATCTTAAGTCTACCATTATCTCTTCACTTTCACAATATTTTTGTTATTTTGCATCATCTATAAATTTGGAATTACGTCCTGCACACCACACGCAATCCTAGGTCATTTATACAGATCAAGTAAAGCAGTGGTCCTTATGCCACTCCTGAGGAACCCAACTATATACTATGCTCCAATCCAAAAAACAAACTGTGCATCACTACCATGTTGACAGTTAAATTCATATCCATGTTGCCACTTATTTTATTCCGCAGGCTCGAACTTTGCTGAGAAGCCTGTAAGTAGCACTTTACAAAATGCGATTTGGGGGTTCATGTACATCATACCAACCCTCTCAGCCATCTCATCAAAAAAAAAACAGTCTAATTAAACACGATTTGTTGTGTAAGAGCACCACAATATATACAGCAAGTGTGAGTAAATGGTGTTAAGATACAAATTAGACTAAATGGCAAAACAGGCTATTAGGTCAAAATGCTTCCTTCCCATTCCTAATAAACAGGTTCCATTAATGTAACTTTAATGTTACAATTAACCTGGGACAGGACAAGGCAAATGGGGAACATTCAGAGAAACTGCTATTGTAAAATCTTTCAATTCAACATCAATGCTATATTTCTCAGATCTTTGTGGTGTTGTAGAATGTTCCAGTTAGAGAGAGGAAGTTTGATTTTTCTCACAATATTTGCAGCATTCCAGTAGGAACAATGAAATCATCAGCTTGCTGGAAAGTTGGGTAAAAAACGAAGGTGGATCAAGATGAACTAAATGCCTAGATACTGGATCATGCTGAAGCCAAAGAGGAAGTCCATGCAAAGACAAACAATTTTGTGAGACCTACTCGTGCAAAACCTAACAGTATAGACATGTAGCATGAATCAAAAGTGACACAAGTGAGTTGCAACATGCAAGACACAAGGGATTTAGAAGTAAATGGATTAGAAAGAAATGATAGGAACTGCATTAATAAAAACACAATTCCATCTAAACAGTGTGTGTCAATGGTTACCTTCACAGGAGCAAAAGTCCTAATCATATTTATCCAGCCTGTCCCCATTTCTCTTTCTCTTCAGAATCTTATCCAATCTAAGCCTTAATGTTGAAAGTTTCTGCATTGAATATAAACTCTCAACATCAATTTCACAGCCAAGAACTCAGTATAAGGAATTTTCTTCTGACCTTTGAAAAGCTAACATTTGATCATACAGATGCTGCCAGACCTGCTGAGCTTTTCCAGCAATTTCTATTTTTGTTTCTGATTTACAGCATCCATAGTTCTTTCGGTTTTTAAATAATCTATAACTGCCTAGAAGTAGCTTGTAAGTTTCTACCTCAGCTATATTGGAGTAAGGATACATTAAACACTGCTCTTGCAGTTTCAAACTATATATTTCTACCAGAGACTGATTACTTATTTATTGGAAATGGACACACTTCAAGTCCTGAACAACCAAGAGAATAATGAAAACAACTCAGACTAACACTTCAGTATAGTACTGAGAGTGCAGCATTGTCAGAGGTTCTATGATTCCAGTGATATGTCAGACTGACGCTTATTGCAACCACATTTAAAAAAATAGGAATTAAAGAACCATGGTTTACAGCATAAGTGGAGGCCATTCTGCCCATATCTGCACCAGCTCCATTCTAGAACAATCCTAAACTATGTTTACTGCCTTTGTGGATAAGGAATATAATGTGAAGGATAAAGAAATAATTAACCTTACTATAATCCCACATTCAGTATGAAAATATTATTTAATTTCCTTCTCAAAAAACATTTGAAATTTTAAGTTATAAATTAATAGCTAAGCTTATTTATTAAGAAAAAAAAATAGTCTTCTTCTAATTATCGTACTGCTAGGCTAATTTTAAAGTTTAACAAATATGTTTTGCCCAATACTAGCAACAGCCAATATCAGCAAAAAAAAATTATATGTTCATTTGTTGTTTTGGCATCTTGCCGTACACAAGCTAGTTACTGTGATTGCATTTATAGCAGTAACTACACATAAAACTCAGATGTGAAGAGTCAGTTCAAGGAAATGCAGGTTGCCAGGTTAAATATAGTCAAAAACTTATAATAAATTAGAAGGAAATACTTGCAAGCGTACAGGTATTGTATGCAACAATCACCCGCAACCAGCAATAAAATAATGATTAGACAATCTGTTTAGTGATGTTGGGTAAAGGGCTAAGTACTGTTCAGGGCGCCAAATAATCATTAGGCAATCTGTTTAGTGATGTTGGGTGAAGGGCTAAGTACTGTT